AATCCAACTTCTTTCCTATTGACTGGTGGTCCTTGCTTCATCTTTTGTTACTTTCTTGTGTAGTCAAGGGTCTATTTCAGGAGTGTCTCTTCTGTTCCATTGGTTCTGGTTTTTGTTCTCAAGTAATACATTGTTTTAATTATTATAGCAATAACACTAGTTTTATATCTTTTTTTCCTACAGTTAAAACCCCTTATTTCTAATTCACTGTTTTTGGTTAGGCTTAGAACAGTGTTTAGTAAAAATGGTAATAAGAAATTGCCCACTAAACACCTCACAAAAGGAACAGGCTGCAAAACAGACTTTGGCTGTAATGAAATTCACATCCTTTTTTTTCCCAGATTTTTAATACAAACACTTTTACTGTTTCACCTTTAAAAATTATGGGAAGGAAATATTTTTTTATTCTTGCCTTTTAAAACCATTAATTTGGAATGGATGAGCAATTTTGTCAAATGCCTTTTCAGTATCTGTATTAGTCTGAATTGAGAAGTTGTTTATAAAGTGAATTTTTGTAAGTGAATCACACTTTGCCACAACTTACATTGCAAATTCCAGAGTGTGTCCCTAGAGAAAATGCTTTGGCCTCAAGCAAAATATACTTTTTGATACCAGAATGTTTCCTTTCCCTGGAAAGGAATTGGGACATTTTCTTAATTACCAGATAGAAAAACATCTTCAAGCAGAGAGATGGAGTTTGAGAATGTCTTCTAGACTCTGGCATTATTCCGAGGAACTCTTTTAGAAACACAGTGCCCAAAAACTGCCAAATTCTGGAAATCCTGAGGACAGAATTGAACTAGGATTCAGGATCCTACTACCAATTGGCTGGGTAACCTAAGGATGCGTCTTGATTTGGCTTGCTTGAACACCTATACTAGCACTGTCAAATCTGGCTTTTGTGGTGATGGAAAGGTTCTGTAGCTCTGCTGTCCACTGTGGTTGCTACTGGCCACTTGTGGCTGCTGAACACTTGAAATGTGGCTAGTGTGAAGAACTGAATTTTTAATTTTATTTAATTTGAATTGAAGTTTAAATAGCTGAATGTGGCTAGTGGCTACCATATAAGACAATGCAAATCTAAACAATGAATCAGTATATATCTGAGGTCATTTGTAGGTCTCAAACTGCCTTTCTGAATATGGCTAGAAATTTCCTAAGAATCTTCTTATATTTCAAGAATTTATAAATTGAGAGAGTTTGAGGGAGAACTTCTAATGCGTTCTGATTCTTGGATTCTTGATAAGATACTCCCTGTATTCAGATTATGTACATGGCTGTTGACTGACTGCTAGTATCCATTAAAAGTAGTTTATTATTTGTAGTAAATGATAATGTATTTTCATGGTGAATATAAAGATTTTTTCTTTTCCTTTTGCAACTGGGGGTTAATGCTCCAAACCAAAATTAACTTCTAGATAATATGCTTCTGTGTAGCACTGAAGGGTTGGTTGTTACAAAAAATCATTTACTACAGAGAGGTTCCGAAGCCCTTTTGTGTAATTGATCTGATTCACCTACTACTATGCTGTTATAAAATGTGGTTTTAGAGAGTGCTTCCATTTTGTGAAATAAACTTGATTTTTTATGCATTTTTATTTCTAATATTTTTTAATCTTGTGTTTCAGCTATTATATTATGTAGGTATTCTAGAAATAGAAAAGTCTTCTTTAGAAAAGTTATATGAGAGAGAGTGAATCTCTGTAGCATCAATATGCATGATGTAAAGCTACGAATGGCTTTATGCTTTGTAGCTCATTAAAAAGTGTTTATATTTGGTATGAAATCACCCCCCTCACCCCCCAAAATCTGTCTTGGGTAATTGAATGAAGCTAATAAACTCTATAACAAATTGTTTTGAGAACTTAATTATTGCACACAGCATCAATTGTATATCTCTTTAGTGAGTAATTAGCCCAGTAATGTTCAAAAGTTGGATTTGCTTGCTCTGGCGAGTCCATATTTCTAGGACCTTCTAAAAATTCCCTATGCGTACTCTAAAAGTTTAAAGTAAACAAACGTTAGTGAAGTAAAGCATACATTAGTGTGATTCTTTTTAGGAGTAGTAAGAGGCATGCCATGAAATTAAAAAAAAGAGAAGAGATTGGAAGTAATTATTTTAGTGGTTAGAAACAGTTATAATAAGTTATGATATGGAAGAGATTCCAATGCTAGTTTTGATTTCTGGCTTACTCAGACTTTGGGCCAGTAATCAGATTTCTTTGTACCATCAAATTCTTTGTTTGAAATGCCCATGCCTTAGTCCATGTGAGATGATGGGCCCAGTGCTAGAGTAAGATGCTTCCTTTTTAGGCAGCCTTGGAGATGCTCAACTTTTAGATGCCTCTTACTATAGTAGAAGTTGTGTATAAGCAGATTTAAAAGAATCAGTGCTTTGCTAAATAATTAGTGATTTTATCCTAATTCTTCTATGTCTAAATTTGATTTTTAGAGATTAAGACTTTTGTATTCACACATTATATAGCTTATTTGAAGGACCACAGATTTTGACCTATGACTTATGGAAAAGAAAAAATAAGATGTACAATTTGATATTTCATATTCCTCTTTGTTTAAGAAGTATGCTTTTTTAAAAGAAGTCCCATTTTCTTATAGTCAATTTAAAAAGGGGCACATTTAGAATTTTCTAATTTTAGACATCTTCCTTCAGAGTGAAAGACTGTTCTTTATATATAAAACTTTCGATGGGTATGTATTTGATATTTTATGTGTTTTTAGCCAAAAGTCTGTAGACACTGAGGAAGCTACTTAAGTTAATTTGCTTTTGAAATTTATGACGTTAATTTTTGCCATATAACGCTGTCTGACACAATATCCCCAAACTCAGTGACTTAAAACAACAGTCATTTATTCTCATGAGTTTATGGGTTGGTTGAGGTGGCTTTGCTTCATGCTGCATTTATGTGGTTGGGATCTCCTCCAAGTGTCTCTCATCTTCTTGGCAGGTGGCCTGGGACCTATTCTTCCTATGGCTATGGCAGAGGTACCAGAGGGTAATCCCAGCTGCCAAGCACATTTTAAGCACCTGCTTGCATCATGATTGTTAACATCCCATTGGCCGAAGCAAGTCACATGGCCCAACCCAGAGTCAAGGGAAGGAAGCTAACTGGAGCTGTAGTCATGGCAGAGGAAAAGTCTTCAGGGAGGAGCACAGGACTAGGACCAGTATTTCAGTCTACCACATAGAGTTTATGCACCTGCCGTTTAATTTAGATGATAAGGGGTTAAAATAAGCAAATGTCAAAGTGATAAAAAAGGAATATGTGGGATTAATCTGTTTTTCAAAATTATTAATTGGTAAAATAGAAAAAGAAGTGTGGAGTATGAGATGGCACTAATTCAAGAATAAGATATAATGATAAATCTTCACCTGATTGTTCTTGAATTGTATAAACCTTATATCAAATCCATTTCTTGCTACACTTTGATTTTTTTCTCTTCATGTGATAGTTTCTCTTCTTTTAGGAATGAAAAATACTCCAGGTTAATACTTTAAAAATAATTTTTACCTATAGGGCAAAAAATAGATTCTTTGACATAAAGCACTAATGTTATATTAATATGTATTTAATCGGAGATATTTTGGACTATTGGAGCCAACGGCAGAATTTAAGAGTAACATAAGGAGCCTTCCCTATTCCTGACGCTTTGCATACTTTCAAGTATTCAGTGAAAAATGCTGTGCTGTCGGCCCTCCAGCAATGCTCAGAAATCAAAGAGTCAGTACAGTAAAAAACTTTTTCTTTTGTGATTCAATGACAGTACCAATTCGAAATGAAAAAGGGAGGAGAAAAGAAGCCAATGGCTAAATATTAGATAATAAATGTTGTTCTTTTCATAAACAGTTTTGTTTTTTAGGTAGACTGGATTTGCTTTGTGTGTTTTTTTCTTTTGTGTGGCCTTCTTGGAGGAAGAAGCCGGTAGGGAAGTGTGACCCTCCAGAGTCAACAGGAATTGAGTGAATGCAGGAAAGAATGGAGGGATTGCCCAGGGGTCAGTGTAGGTGAGGCTGGGGTCAGGGCCTCTCCTGAGCTGGAGAACTTTGCCTCATCTCCCAACACCACTCTGCACCAAAATCCACCCTGGAGAAGGTTGTGCCTTTCTACTTTATGGGGAAGGAAAGTGAGGTTCCAGGAAGTTCTGGGACTTAGGCAAAGTCCTGTGGGGTTGGACGCAGAGCCAGGATAGGTCTCCTTGCCTGCCTTTTGCTGCAGGGTGGCTGGACGGGAGTACTGGTGGATCAGCCCTGGAAGAACGGCTTAAAACCTACTGAGTGTGGGGTGGTACTGTGTTCCTGATAGAAAAAACTTGCTCATGTTTCGCCTTGGGGCATATTTTGGTATGGGGAAGCTAGAAAACCTCAAGGTAAGGAGAAGGCAACCTAAGTATAATCACCACGTCTCACCTGCCATAGAGATTTCAGTCTTGGAACTGCAGCAGCACATGAAAGCCAGTCGTTAAGTGACGGCCACAGCCTTCACCCTTCTTAAACAGGGTGCTGTATTTAGTAGGATGAAATGCCTTCCATGTCCATATTGAATTGAAATGTTTGAAAGAGGTTTGGGAATCTCTTTTTAAACTGAATTGGTAACTTTGTGTTGCTAACTTTGTAGCTGAGGAAACAGGCCCATCTGAGGTAAGTTCACACCTAGGAAAAGCGTTGGAGCTAGAATTCCTGTCTCTTGAGCCCTACTTTATTGTTAGTTCCGTCGAGTGGATTCTGACTCCTAGCGACCCTGTGGACAGCAGAGCAGACACTGCCTGGTCTTTTTGTGCCATCCTCTCACTTTCTGATACTATATCAGACGATGCTCTGCTGCTATTCATAGAGTTAATTTTTCAGAAGTGGGTGCCTGGGGCCGCCTTCCTGTCTAGTCTGGAAGCTCCACTGAAACCTGTCCACCATGGGTGACTCTGCTGGTATTTGAAATACCCATGGCATAGCTTTCAGCATCACAGCAACAGGCAGCTGCCGCAGTATGACAACTGACAGGGAACACGTGGTCTGGTTCCCCAACTCAGGCTGTGGCGATGACAACGCCAAATCTTCACCACTTGACCCCTGGGGCTGGCTTGATCCTTACACCACTGTATTATTTCCACAGTTATGTGGTGACGGTTTTATTGAGCTCCTCTTCAGTTTTAAGGTACCATGCAGAGGTGAAGGTGGGTATACAAAGAAATAGGAAACTTCTCAAAGAGCATCCAATCCAAGTGGTGTAAGATAAATGGAAGATTGACCTGTGTTGTCACACAGATCTGGTGTAGAAAACTCTTCTTAAGGTCCCATGACTGGAATCACATGTGTAGGGCATGCCAAGACATGTCGCCTTGTCCTAATTCAAAACTTCCTGTTCTGATTTATTTTTTTCCATTGTGTTTTCTAAGTCACTTTCATTAGCATTTATCAGTGTTGTTTTGTAGTTCTGTTATCTTGTCTGTCTTCTCCACCTGCGTCTCTCAAGAGATAAGATGTCTTTTTCTATCCTTAGCCCCTTAGCACCCAGCCCTGGGGCCTGACTCACCCCTTGCGCTTCACTTGATGCATTCTTGAATGGATGTATGTATTTTCATATTCAGTAGATCTGAAGTAGCTACTTGGAGCAAAGACCATTTCCAACCAGAAATAGGGAATTGAGAGTTTCATTTTAAGGCCAAGCCCAGGAAGATTTTCTGAATGAACTGATGTTTGAAAAGCTGCGGCAGGTCATCTCCACAGGGATGGACTGCATGGTGCTGCCATCATTAGTTCTCTGGCTGGAAATCAAAGTCTACTGTTTATTTTATGAGACCCTCAAGATGCAGCATTTCCTAGACCCAGAGAAATAAACATTGTTGGGCTTGGTATATAAAGTTCATTCGGGCAGGGCAAGTCCAGGTCCATACGGTAGGTTAAATGATAAGGAGTTGGGACTGCAATGGTGTAGAGCCAATGTCAGGCACTTGTTGGTTGTGTGCATATTCTTACGCACATTGCAATAGTGCATTCACTATCGTGGTGAGTTAGTGTGCACTGCATTGAGACACATGTCACGGTGCAGGGATGTGTCACGCTCTGCCCTGCCTTTGTGTCGCTTGTCTCTGATGTTGCTGTCCTGTTCTTCTGCAGGGCACAGTCTCCTTTGGTTGCAGTAATTGCTCGTGACTTATCTGTGCACATGACAGAGATGTTGCCTCCCAGGGAGGGCAGAGCCTTCAGTCTGTGATGAGAAGCCGGGCTGCCTCTGAAATGTGATCATTCAGTGCCGTTGCCCCGCCCCTTCTGCAGCCCACATGCATGTATGTGCTGCTCCGTGAATTCAGGCTGGTTAGGATCAAATGTGATGCCTCCAGAATGTGACTGGGAGCCCCTAGCACCCACTCTCTTGCTGCTGTTTCCTATGGAAAATTCTTTTCCACAAATGCATTTTTAGGAGGCAGGCGTCTTCTCAAGAATGTGTCTTTGTGTTGTATGCCAAGAAATGCCTTGAATTTAAGCATCGTCAGGGTGGTCTGTTGGAAAGAGTGTGCCGTCCGGAGTCAGAACCAGTGTGGATCCGGGTCCTGCCTGCCCTTCCCTGGCCCTGCGGGGTGTGTGCACTTCAGCTGTGCCAGGCTTTTGTCTCTCTACTGGAGGAGTAACGCCTTCCTCACAGGCTTTCTTGGCCCATAGTAAGTGCACAGCAAATGTTATTTAAAAAAACAGTAGTGTTTGAACTCTGAATTTTAAACCAAGAAAAACCTTTATTACTTTGTGAGGTTTCTTACATAGGTTTTTCATTGTCCATTGCAGCTTCCAAATACCTTTACTATTAAGACCAACTATTTGCTCTGCATATATGAAAAGTAAAATTTTCATCACACATTTACTAAATAAGTTGTTTTTAAGTCTCCAGAATTTTTTTTAAAATTTGACGATTGAAAGGCAACTTGTGAGTTTGAATTGAAGTACCCTTGTTCAGCAGCTGGAACAGGTGTGTCAGCACCACTTGGAAATCTTATTTTTACTAACTCACTAGCTGAAAAGCTTGCCAGGCCAGGGAACATCCTGACCTTTTTTCATGGAAAAAAGGAATGATAACATTTTGCCCTTGTAAGCAGAATTGCATCTTTATGCCTGGGCTCTATTCCGCTATACAAAAGATGGTCCTCCTGTCACATTGTTGGCTCAGAGGGTTTCAGTGCCCACCGTGTGCCCCATGCCCTGTGTCAGGTGCTCGAGATGGACTTCACATTCCCTAGGGGGAGGAGAGGTTAGATTGAGGGGGGAGATAGTGTTAAGGAGGAGATCACAGTGCTTGACTTGAATTAGGTCAGGTGACAAAGGAGACACCATGAAGCGGGGAGAGGGAGACTGTGCTGAAGGATTGGGGCTTGTTCCAGGCATCTATGACTGTGTAACCAACTACACCAAAACTTAGTGGCTTAAAACAACAACTGTCTTATTTATTGCATGATGGGCCAGGAGTTTGGGCACTGCTCAGCCGGGCCATTCTTCTGTTCCACGTGGTATCAACTGGGTTACTTGGTGGTAGTCAGCTGAATGATGGGCTGGTTTGGAGGGTCCAAGATGGCTTCACCCACACAACTGGTGCCTTAGTGGGTGGTTGGAAGGCTGGGCTCAGCTGCGACTGCCAACTGGAGCGCCTCTGTGTGGCCTCCCCTGCATGGTGGGTCCCAGGTTTCTTCCGTGGCGGCTCAAGGCTCCCACAAGACCTAGACAGAAGCTGCAAGGCTTTTGAGACCTGGCTTTGGAAGTCTCAGAATGTTACTTCCTCCACCTCCTGTTGGTAAACAAGTCACTAAGGCCAGCCTGGGTTTAGGGAGAGGAGAATTAGATTCACCTCTCAATGGGAGAAGTAATGGGAATTTGTGGCCATCTTTAATTTGCCACACTGTGTTCCTTGATAGGAGAGCCATTGGGAGACTCTAAGGAGGAAGAGTGGTTGGGATGGTGGGTGTGTGACACGTGACCAAATGTACTTTTAGATTTGGAGGCAAAGGTCCAGTGACAGTGGAGTGATGAGTCGGCAGGTGTTGCAGGTGGGCCAGTGGGTGTAGAGTGCTCTTTCAAGATTCTTGGCTGTAGGGAGAAGATGGGAATGAGAGTGGAGGCTCAGAGTGAGGCTCAAGGTTGGAGGGATTTGTTTGTTTTTGCTTTGCTTGTTTGTTTTGAAGATGGTTGAGGTCACCAATGACCCACTCTTTTCCAAATCATGGTTGTGCCTTCTTGTTCTGCTAATGGCCGCTTAACTGATTAACACTGTTGAAATTCTCTTTCATCTTGTCTTTGGTGATGCAACCTTCCCCTGGCTTAGTAGCAACTAAGAGGGATTATTTCTTTAAGTGGTTATATTTCCCAGGGTCTGTCCTTCTTTACTTCGTTATTCTGCACCTTTCTCTTGAGCAGTCTCCTTTGCTCTCATGATTTTAAGTGTTACACCTGCGTGGTGAAGGCACCTAAGTCCATAACGTCTCTTGTCTCCTAAGTGTCTCCCCCTGGGTGCTCCTGTAATTCCTGTTCCTTTTTCTAATAATGCCATCACCCTGGCCTAGACCAGAAGCCTCTGTGACATTCCCTTTCTCTGTCCCTCACTCTGTGCAGCCAGACAGGCCATGAAGTACTATTGATTTTTTTCCTTTAAAAGCGAGGTTCTCAACTGGCTTCAATCAAGCATCACCTGTGGAACTTTTGAAACATGCGTGCCTGGAGCCTTGTCCCAGAACTGCTGGACCAGAATCTCTTGAGACTTAGGCATGCATATTGTTATAAAGCTTCCTTGGAGTTGCTGATGTTCACCAAGCATTGAAACAACTGTAAATTTTTTGTCTAATCCTCCAACTCATTTCCGCTATCGCTGCTTTGGTCTAGGCTGGTATAGTTTTCTGTACCTATCGTAACAAATTACGAGAAATGTGGTTGGTGGCTTAAAACAGCAGAATTTATTCTCTCACAGTTCTGGAGGCCTCAGTTCTGGAATCCAGGTGTCGGCCAGGCTCCAGCGGCCCCAGGGGAGGAACTTTCCTTGCCTGTTCCTGCTTCTGGTGGCTCCAGGCGTTCCTTGGCTTGTGATTGTCTGACTCTGGTCTCTGCCTCCATCTTCACACGGTCATCTCCTCTCTCTCCCTGTGTGTCTTTTATAAAGACACTTGTCATTGGATTTAGGGCCCCCCAGTAATCCAGGATGATCTCGTCTCCAGATCCCAGACTACATTTGCAAAGACCTTTTTCAAAATAAGGTCACATTCACAAGTTCTGGGACATGGACATATCTTTTGGGAGGCCCCATCCAACCCACTTACACTCCGCCTATGGTTAGGATAGTTCTCCCTTCTGATCTTCCTGTCTCTAACCTGTATATCCATCCTGTACTGTGCTGCCCCAGCGATTACTTTATATCCAGTCATGTTAGTCCTTTGCTTAAATCTTACCAACTCACCATTCCCTTTAGGGGAAAAAGCCATGCCCCTTATCGTGAAGTTCCAGGCTGTTATCTGGTCCCTCCTACCTTTTACCCTCCTAGCCCACTACTTCTCTCATCTTGAACTTTCTGCTCTCACATACTGACCTGCCTACACTCCTCCTGGCCTCTGTGCATACTGTTGCCCTACATTCCCCATTTAGTCTTGTTCACATTTCAAGACGGTTCGAGTGGTGTCTCCTCCATGAAGCCTTCCCTAATGCCTCTTTCCCATGTGCTTTGTGGGACTAGTGCATCTTGTTGCATAAGTGTTTTATCCCACTTGTCTTTGTGCCTTTCTCTGCTTTTAAGAGGAGAGCTCTGAAGACAGGGAAGCAGAAATTCATCATTGTAGCTCTAGTACTTGGAGTTATAAATGTTGAATGAGTGACCATGTAGCTTAACCTAATTAGAAACTTGTCTCATCATGGCACTGGTTTTCCACTGTTACCTTCATTATTTCCAGTAGGATTGTTCACTGATCATCATCTAGATTACTAAGTAAGGAGGCAGTCTGCAAGTAGACTGGTGTATCATTTGCTTAACCTGTAATATCTGAGCAGCTATGCTCAGGCAATTTAAATTAAAATGTTTCTGCATATGTTAAGGCTGACATTTTTGGTTTTTGTGTTTTTCCCTTCATATTAGATACGGCTTTGGAGTTGTAAGTAGCAGAAACCAACCTGAGTTAGCTGAAACTAAGAAGAATTTCATGAACAAGGATCAGAGTAGAAGCGGCCAGTAGAAGCCCTTAAGGATCCTCTTTCCATCGCTTCTTGTTGCTTGTCTCTGTTCATCTGCTCCAGTCCTCGCTTCTCTGCTTCTCCGTCACGTGACAGATTGTGATGTCCCCACAGCGCCTGCGCTGATGTTTTACAGCTCCAGCCATCCGCAGAGATTGGCTGGTTGTCTCTCAGTCCTAGTTTTGTGTTTTCCGGGACGAGACTGTCATTGACTATCTTGGGCCAGATGTCCACCTCCGGCCATTCAGCTCCAGGGTGATGGGGAGGGCGCTGGCCTGGCCATTTCATCCCAACACGGTGCCAGGGCTCACTGTAGGAAGTTAAAGGATAGACTCCCAAGAAGGGAGGGTTGTTGTGGCAGACCCCTAAAAAGCTCTGGCACACTCTTCCTCGTTAGGTGCTCTTGCCCAGCAGTGTCTGGTGGAGAGAAAGATGCGGCAGAGAGCCGGGAACCCTGAGGGGCAGCAAACCTGGCTAGATCTTTTACCAGTTGCCTCTAGGCCACAGTGGTGAAAATGGTCCTCTAAATTGTTTAGAGCCCTGGCTTTAATTGATTCACATATTTTTCTCTTAATACAGAATGGTCATCTTGATTTAAGTGATGTGGAAATATATTAAAGTGAATTTATAATGATTGTTTACTCATCGATACGTTCATTATAGTAGCCATCAAAAATATGTTTAAGAAAATAATGTACATTATTATGATCTTGCCTCAGAAAAAGAAGAGGCATAGACTTGAAGTAAACTATCTCTGTGTTCTAGAGACATTTTTATGTAGCTAACTTTTCTTTGTGATGGAAATGGAAAAATTCAAAACATAGTAGGAATAACTTCTGGTGATAATTTAAATCCATTGTCCTATTGTAGCTACTGAAATGTAAAACAAACCCAAAAGCTTTTGTTCTGACTTTTGATGTCCTCGGTAGGCTCAGGTCCCTTTGCCTTCTGGGCCACCATGCTCTTCTGGATGTGACTGGACAAGTGGCAAAGGCAAGACTTTTAGGAGAGGAGCGGACCACCAGGTGTGCTGCCCTTGACTGGTGTTCTGAGGGGGCCTTGGAGCTGTAGTATTATCCATGTCAGTCTTAAATGATTCCTTCCCCTTCTTTGGGTTCTCTTCTTGAAAAGATCTTCTGCCAAGGGGGAGGTGGGGAATACTCATGTCAGTGTGGCAACGTGAGACAACGGTCAGAGCATCCAGAGTCAGAAAGTACAGTTGAAAATGGAAGCACTACCTTGCAATCCTGTGTCTCTTAAACACTGATATTAGCTTAAGGTATTAATGCAGGAAATCTGCTTAAGGACATTATATGTTTTCCAGGTGACTTTTTAAGTTATTTGACAGTTTGTGGACTAAAACTCATCTTTTTACTTTTGGGCCTTTTTATGGGCAATCTTCTTGCAGAGTCAGATTTTATGTTTAATTTTTGCAAGTTAATTTTGCTAACCTGACAGTGTAGGTTCAAATAGAAGTGGGAATGGATGTAGAGAATTCAGAACTTTTAAGAATGCAAGTAATTAAATTTGGTCTTCTTACAAATAAAGATCTTACATTAACATGATTTGAGAATGAGAGATGAAGTTTAATTAGCATGCTACTTTCTAACTACTTCATTTAAAAATATTTCTTGAGTGTTTCTCAGGGGTCCATTAGAATGACGCTGGCTGAATTGAGCCAGCACTAGTACGGCCTCTGCAGAATTCTCATTTGCTTATTTATACTCTGTCTCTTTCCAAAAGATTTGAAGAGTCTGATTTTATAGAATAGGAAGCCTATAATTACTTTGTAGATCACTCAAATTAAGTTTCTGGAAGTGATTGGAATTTCATTACAGCTGAAGTCGGTTCTGCAGCCCATTCCTTTTGTGGGGTGTTTAGTGGGCAATTCTTTATGACCATTCCTATCTCTTCTCTTATTCTATCTCACTTTTATTCTTAAAACTTTTAAAATCTGTAAATAAATGAACTCTTTCATCTCCATTTATAGGTACAACGGTGCTTTACCTAATGGAGACAGAGGCCGGAGGAAAAGCAGATTTGCTCTCTATAAGCGGCCGAAGGCTAACGGCGTCAAACCCAGCATGGTCCACGTGATATCCACTCCGCAGGCCTCCAAGGTAGGTGGCTCCTGCGAGCTGGGAGGGCCTTTGCAGATGGGCATTCACAGCTACTCCTTGTTATTCCTTGTCCTTTCAGTCCTCTTTCTCTGTAGAACAGACTTTCTTAACCATTTGTGGCCAGATAATTCTTTGTTGTGAAGAGCTGTCCTATGCATCGTAGCGTATTTAGAGCATTCTTGGCTTTGACCCACTAGATACCAGTAGCACACCCCCCAGTCCCCAGCTGCCAACCAAAAATGTCTCCAGACATTTCCAAATGTCCCCTGGGGGTGGGGTGGGCAAACCCTCTCCTCCCCTCACCCCGTGATGAACCACTGCTTTAGGATATAGTGGAACCAGCGTATATCAATTTAGAATAGTTGTGATTGAAAAATAAATGATGTTCTTTATCCTAAAGAGAGTTTTTGTATTAAATCTTGCTATACAACTCATCAAGAGTTGTTATTTTCCTTCTCTTAATTGAGTAGTAGGTGTTTTCACATAAACTACATGTACACGGATTTGAATTTTTGTAATTATTAAAAGATTGGAAGTAAACAGAGCTGAGTGCTGTAAGAAGTCTACTATTCATGTTTCCTCTCAAGTTTGAAGTATGTAAAATGTTAATTTCTTATGATTATTTCATTTGTTTTCTGATATATAAGAGGAGAGAAGACAGTTTCCATTCTGGTTGGTATATTCTGCTTATTAGATTTATGACAAATTTTCTTTTAATTAAATTCTTTAATCTATAACATAGATTCCTTTTCTATAAAATAATTGTATTTACTTGAAGTATTTCATATGGGGCACTGGCTGTACATGTTTATTTATCATAATGGGTTTGGACCATCTGGAATAAATAACAGACTTGATTCCCATTTTTACTGAAAACCCGTGGTTCAAAAGGAAATGAATAGCTTCGTTAAAGCACATATGGTATTTATACTCAGTCTTAGAAACAGATCACCTTTGTTAATGTTTTTATTAAAAAAGCTCCTGTGTTGTTTCTGAAGTAGTGCCATGGAAAAAGTTTGCTAGAATGTACCCATTAAGATTGTCTTGTGTTGATGAGGGAATGTTAGATCAGAACATCAGACACCAAGGAAACAGGAAAGATTAATCTCTAGCGGCCAAATTTTTGGCTAGAGAAAGGGAAATAAAGTAAAAGTTTCAGGAAGGGAAGGACACTTATGGGGAAGACAGAGGAAGTCAGCCTTGCAAAGAATCTGAGAGGAGGAGGAAGTGGAACAGCAACAGAATCTCAGACAGTCAAGGAAGTATGAGAAACGTTTCGTAGCCCAAAGACTTTGGTGGAGAAGGATATCCAAGACAAATGTGTTTGAGCGTGTGATGAGTGCCAGAGATATTCTGATATTATAGACGTGGTCCTTGTAATTTTGTCTCTGTGTTGACATTTATCTTTGCTGCCTCTGGCTGTGTGCCTTTGTACTTTTTTTTTTTATCTTAGATTTTATGTTGATACAGTGGCTTCAGATATTTAAATTTTTTTTGTAGAAATCATTGATTACTCAGGCTTTATGTTATGATAGAATATGAAATATATCTTCCAGTAGCTACTATGGAAAATCAATAGCTCTTCCTTATTCCTCACCTACCTCCATCTGCTCCAGTTTTAGCTTTTTATGTTTTACCTTTACACCTAGATTTTACCTGAAGTTATTTAGTTTATAAATCTTTTGGTAGTTGTCTGTCTAAATCTGTGTTTAAAAATATCGCCCACTGTGCTAGTAGTAGGGAAAATTGGGTTTTGGTCTTGTAACCTGGGAAAAATATATTCTCAGGGCCTGAGTTTCCTCCTTTATAAAATGAATGAGTTGGCTGTAGGCAGGAGCCATGTTGAATCAGGTAAGATACTTTGGTTATAAGCAACAGAAATGATTCTGTCTTAAAAAAAAGAAAAAATGGAGAAACTATTACAAGTTAGGGTAGGAACAGCTCTCAGAATTGGGAGAAGTTGAGTAACGAGGTTTTGTGAGAGAGGAGAACTGGAGTATCAACAAGAGTTAACACAGAAATTCTCTCAAGGGTGTTATAAAGTGACTTGTCTCCAGCTACCTTCTATTTCTTTTAAGGGTTTTAAGTTTTCAAGAAAGAGAATCTGATAGGCCTAACCTGGGTCAGTCAATCATGGCCAAGGGAAAAGAGTAGACCAGACATATTTATTGTGAGCTGACCGAATACCCGCCATGTTGCCTTTCCCTTGGGCATTTTACTCATCTTGGTACCTGTATACTGAGGGCCTTGTATGTAGTATTCCGTCCTACCTGAACCTAGCACCTTAGTCACAAATCCCTCACTCCTTTGGTTCTCTCTCAAACTCCCATCCCTGGTCAGCTTTGCCCTGCCACTCCTGCTGCTCTGTTGGCCCCTAGACAAAGTGTCATATGTTGAGCCTTTTCTTCGAATGCTCTTCCTGCTGCCTCACAACTGAATCCTGGTTTTTCACCAGTAGACTCTTTTTATTCTTCTTTCCATCTCTTCCAGTTCATAGAGCTAGAAATGATTTCATTCTGTTTCCATTTCAGTCTCTTCTTTTCAGCCCTACGTTGTTAATTTAAACTACCTCTTCCCTTGCTTCTCCTGACCTCACCGACCTACAGTTCTCTTTCTGCATATTTCAGTGACTCAGTACCTACCGCAATCTCTGTTTTTACCTGACCCCATTAAACCGTGCATTAGCATCCATGGTTCACAGTGCTTTAACTCTTTCAGTTTTGGAGCCTGTCCCTTCTGTTCCGCTTTCCCCACGGGTATAGTGGAACTTATAGCCCACTTTCACTTGAAAGTGACCATAATCTCCAGTTCCTTCTACTTGTGTATGCATGTACTTTCTTATCTGATCTCATCAAGACATCCAGCCCTTTACCCTGTCCTTATTTGCCACGGTTGTTAGCCCACTTGGCTTTTCCAGTTATATGTTGACTTCACCCCAGATTCTCTTTCTCTGGTGCCTTTTGGCACCGCTCTTTGTGAGTCCCTGGCTCTGGGCCCTTCCCCGGCCCTGCTGGATTGTTCTTCTTGTCTGTCTTCTTGTTCACTCCATTTCCCCTCACAATGCCATGGTGTGTGGTGGTTCTTGGCAGAAGTTGTTTGACCTGAGTCAGCAGTGGTTTGTCTGCTCTGAAATTTCTGATTCTGCAGTATTGGTAATGAAAGGGTCATCTTTGATTGGATCGTAAAAGTGAGACCTAGATGGGTGGGTGTGGTTACCATTGTTAGAATTTGAGTACTTGGTCTTTCAACTATGTTATTCCTTCCCTCTGCCCCACAATCTGGGAGCAGACCAGGGAGTACCCCTCTGCTGCTGGAAAAGGGGACCTTTGGGTCTTCCATGCGTGCCAGTGTCCCAGCTAGTCAGATGAGGATGGCAAGTATGTGCTACTATTGTGTAATCTTTATTTGTGTACATATTTGCTCTTGGAATAGTAGTACTTAAAGGTATTTTTCCTGTTATATAATTTTTAACAAAACCTAAAGTCCTGTTTTACTTTTGGCAGTTCTGTTACATAGACATAGGGCATTTAGTGATTTATTCACTCATTCATATATTTCACAAGTGTTTATCCACTTTTTTATGGCCAAGCATCATGCTAGGTATTGGATATACTGCAGTGAACAAAACATGTCTGCGTGGAGCTAATCGTCTAATGAGTAGGCTAACGATAAGTAATCATGTGACTACACATTTAATCGCACATTGTGAAAAGCACAGTGAAGGAAAAGAATAAGGTGCTGTGGGAAAAGGGTGCACAGAGTTTAGATTGGGTAGACAGAAGAATCTCTGAGGCAGTGGCATGTGAGCTGTGAGCTGAAAGGTAAAGAGGAATTATCCAGGAGAACAGAGAAATCTGGAGCTCCTGTGATCCTGGTTGGAGACTTTGGACTTTTTTCTAAGGAGAAACACTGTGGGGTGTTAAGCAGAGGGAGTGGCATAATATGACCGAGCATTTAAGGTGATTTCTGTTTGTTCATTTACTTTTTAATGATGTGGGGCAACTATTCTGCTCTTACTTAACCAGTGAATAGTGTGGTGGTGGTGGTGGTGGTGATGGTGCCTGATAGGTGAATATTTTGCTAGCGACATGGTTTAAATTTAGCAACATTACTGTGGAAAATTCCTCATCATGGTTTTCCTGTCTTATGTTGTGCTTTATTGAAATCTCCTTTTTTGGGTATTTTCACTTTTAAACAGTAACTGAATATCACTTTGTTCCAGTTGGCATATTTCAGAATGGAAAATATCAATGGTCTTGTAGTGACAGTTTAGAGAAAAATTGGGGCTATTTAATGTGATTGTTACAACCAGGACTGCTTTGCAGCTGTTGGCTCTACCGGTTGATAAGATATTGAAACTCTTCCTTATCGCTCAATGAAGAATGTAATAGTAATTATGAGAAGTGGTAAAACTAATATAAATTTCAGTGTAAACTCATTAGTTCAAGCTAATTTTGTAGGCTGTAGTGGGGTCTGTTGTTAAAGCACTCACTGTCTGTCTGTCTGTCCAGCCTGGGTCTTGGTGGCAATGGGTGGCGTATCTCCACTGTGCGTTCATTATGAAGCTGGAGCTTTCTGTACTTTAGGAGAATCATCCATTTATCATTATCCTCAGACTTTTTAATTGCTACAGCTTTTAAACAGCTGAGTTTTAAATAGTTTTTACTGTGGTTTTTTTTATGTTATTGCACCATAATTCTTGGGTTAGTAGTGTCTGGTGTTTTGATATTTATAAGTTCAAGAATTAATTTAATTTTATTTTATTGTAAATGAAGAGGCAACAAAGTTTGGATAAGTTTTGTCCTTTTAGCTATCATAAACATGAATATTCTGAATCTGTCAGAATAAAGAAAGAAATATTGGTTAATAAACTACAGCCCAGAATATACAAACCTAAAAAAAAGAATTTGTATTTCTAGAATGAAATACAACTTGATTATTTTAACAAAAAATATAAACATGAACAACCTAAGTTTGTACTTCAAGGACTAGAAAAAGAA